CTTGCCAGCCCGCTCAGAGATGTGTATAAGAGACAGACAGAGCTATGAATTTTTGAAAAATAAAGTAGTCTAATTTTTGATTGTTTATATCTCGATTAATTTTGCAATAAGAAAAAAAATCCTTTGGCACAAAATTCTATCTCCCAAAGTACTACCTTTGTGCAAATTAAAAAAATTTCTGAGAGATGACTGATCCGCTTCACGTGGAATAGCCCATATATATATAAACAAAGATACAAGGGGGAGTGTGTTGTAACGGTTACGAGTAAGGATTCAATCGAAAGGAATCGTCCGAGGAAAGAAATCACATAAATACCATCGATTTATAAATATAATTATTCATAAGATTACACCGCGGATTCGGTCTACGAAAATACCAAATGAAGATATTAAGATATGTATATAATCATATCTCCGTCGATTACACAGACGAGTTATACAAATGCGCAATTACAAGGAGACCATCGAAGTCAATACGCGTGAGAGAGAGAGAAAGAATACGAACTCTACTTATTGTTAGCTGAGTACGGGTGCTGATGCCGGAGCTTGTCTTCGGTGGGAGCCACGTTCCGTGCCGTGCGCAACCTTGGAAGTCTCCGTGTAGTTTCTAGTCCTCATACAATTCGAATCGTCGCCATCAAATATCATGTATGGGCTAAGAATTCCTCTTCCTCACACGATCATGGTCGCTATCAGTACTCCATGTTCCGGATGCTCCGGCAGTCGTGGCAGGTCATGCGTTGCCAGGTCAAGAAGTTTCGGGAACGTGGCTCGAGCTCCGACTGATTTTGCCTTCGCTCTCCGTACCTCTCTTTGTGGGCCCGTCCCCCACCTCTCCTACCTCATCCCTACTTTCATGTTCCTCTCTCTCTCTTCTATTACATTATCTCCATTACAGTGTGTAATAATTCGCATCATAATTTCGCATTATGAGGAATTTAAAGATGTGGGGAATCATAGTAGAAGGAGGAAGAAATTTAAGAAGGACAGGATTTCGAAAAAACCGAACAAAAAGAAGACATGACTTACATTTTGATGAGTTAATTAGGTAATGCAGTCGTCCCGGTTGAGACTTGAGAGTTCTTAGGAAACAATGTGAAACTCGGACTTACATCGCGCACAGATTCTAATGACTGATTTAATACACAGAGAGAGACGACAGCAGA